GAGGGAAGAGTTCGTGGGGACACTCCACCTTCATGTGCAGGAAGCGGCTGGCGTGGCAGGCTCCGATCATCCGCAGGTCTGTCACTTTCATCAGCAGTTTTGGCCAAAAGTGTGCAACGTGGTGTTTTCTGTAGTTAATGTAGTGTTCGAACGCCAGGAGGAAACCCTCTTGGCACTTTTCTATCCTTTCAACGCATACAAGACCCGGTCGATCTGCAGATACAAAGGAACAGAACTGCTGTTATTACTCATTTATTTTAATGAATGTCTGGCCAAAAAATCAGGAGAGAGAGGATGATCCTATTGTTAAGAAAAAAAGAACAGAGACTTGGGACATCTGGCTCTGCCACAGACAAATTTTGACCTTGGACATCTCACTTATCTGTGCCTCTGCATTATGCTTGTTAAAAAAAGGATGCTAATCCTTTCTTCATTCTTTGTCTGCTTTGCCTGCTTATAATAGCTGTCTGGGGAGTTTTTCCTTACACTGACAAGAACAGCAGCAGATCCTTGATCTCAGCTGAGACCTCTATCTATATCATGCTGAAAACAACTAGTTCATTGGGATTTCCTTGTCAGAACTCCAAATTACAATTATTTCCCATCTGTTTAGCTGCAGCATGACCAGGCGTCGAGCTTTGATCCACAGGGAAGCCGCCAAGGAAACTGTTCTGTATCAGCAAGGGACTTCAAATACTGAAAGTTTGGTGGTTTGCCTGACCCAGCACCCAGCAGAAACTTGTAAAAGTTCTCAAGTCAGTGTTCAGGAGACACTTAGAGGAAAGCAGGTCCTCTAAAATGGCTTCTGAAACCCCTGCTTATTTATCGCTGTGTGGGGAACCAGACAGAAATCAGAATCTTTTCATTGGGAAGGTGAAGTGCTGCATTGTGATCAATGTGGAAACCTTACTGTCTTGGCTGTAGCTAACGCCTGTAAATCACTGCTCTATGTATTATTCAGTGCCTGGTCTTTAAAGTGGTCTTAAAATAAAACCTTGCCAAATCTGACACTGCCCAAGAATGGTATTTCCTCTTTGGGCTGGCACAGTCAGTAGAAGCATATTTGAAAACATAACGGATCTGAGAAGGTCAGGAAAGAAACTCTGGAAATTAAATGAAATGGCCTATGTTGCTCCTTTATCACTTCACCAAGAAGCCTTTGCTAATGGTCCCGATGTGCCCACTAAAAGCCCGTTAGCATGCAGTGCTGCTGTTAAGTAGGTAAATAAGAAGATATATCGAACTAAACATGTGAGATTGATGGAAATGTGTGTGATCTGTACCCCCCAGCCAGCACATGACAGGGAGAAAGAGAACATACTACGAGGATATTGCGGTTTAGTTATCAATTCTAATTGAAAAGTCAAGGCAAATTGGTTCAGAACCAGCTCTTTCACTCATCTCTTCCTAAGTCACGACACAGTCTGAACTAGGTGTGTGTGACCAAAGCCACTTTCATGCTCATCTCTCTGGAGTTTTTTCCAGTGTTCACCAAACTTACTTTAAACTGTATGAAGATTTTGAGAGAGAATTTCACCCACATATTCTTTTAAGTGCAACAAGCTCTAACGCATCCTATTTGTTTTAAGAAGAGGTTTGTAACAAAGACTAATAATAAGTTTCAAAATGGTGGGGTCCCCAAATATATTTGTCCTCACCTGATGACATGAGCAGAACAGCCTGAAGAAGAGCAACCTCGGTGTCATCCAGGTTAAATGATGAGAGAGACATGCCCAGGTCAAAAATGGCATCGGATACCACTCCAAGACCTCCATTTTTCAGCTGGCCCCTTGTCACCGCGATCTCCCCATTCAGTGTTAAAGTCTCACTCTCAGGGTCATAGCGAACTGCTGCACGGAGCGACATGATCTCCATACAGCAGCCTTTCAGAAGGATGATCTGGTCTTCACATGGCAGCTGCAGAAATTGTAAACGGCAAATAAAAAGATGTGTTTTTCAAACTGAATTGGTTTTGCAAGCATAATAAATCCAGGGCGACAAAGTTGCAGTCAACACTCCAGGACACACCATCCCATGGTACAGTTACACTGCAAACATCCTGCTGACCGGTTAGTTCCAGTCATGTCACAAAACTTCCAAGACTCACATTCCTACTTTAAGAAACTCTGGGGAATTAATGTCCCCACATGCCCTTTGGAAGTCTCGTCGTCATGCAGTTGTGGGGAAGGGGATCCGGGCAAGGCACTCAGGGCTGCCCAAGCTGGTTCAGACACACCTTGCAGAAGTGGGAACCCTTTGTTTGTGGGAGCTTTATCAAATTAAGTCTAAAAAACATCAAGAAAGAAGCCTTCCACTTTGCAGAACATTTCACAGAGCATGAAGGATAAAGAAGAATTGCTAGGTTGGTGCTGACGTATACTGTGGATTTGCATTAGGGGTGGATCTGAGACAGCTGAAGTAGTCGCTACTTTCAGGTATTTACCCTTCTCTCTGCCACTCGTGAGCTCCCACGAGCTTGCAGCTTGGCAGAACAGACTAAACTACCACTGGGGCTGGTGTAGGCACTAGTCATCCCAGCTAAACTCATTGCCAGTCATGCTTCTTTCTTACCTGACCAGAGGAAAAGAAAGATGATGCTTCAGAGGGTCTGTAAGAGTGAACTGCTTTTTAAATAAAAAGAATGAAAGAGAACTCTCTATCTAGAACCAATATCTCAGTCTGTGGGGCATGCAGTCTTAATTCTCACAGTCCATTTCAAACAACAGTCAACTTACTAAGCTATTTTTGTCTGTTGTGGCTCATCTCCCTGGTTATCACTAGACTGACAGAAAATTCTACAGAGAATAAAAAATTCTTTTTTTTATCGCAGAGTTCCAGTTTTTATACTGGTGCACAAGTCAAAATCTTCAGGGCATGAGACAAGACTTCTGTTTTCTTTAACATTAAAAATGGTAGCTGTCCGAACTGAAGAAGGTAGGTTCTTTAATAAGGTACTGCCAGGATGCTGAGACAGTTAGAGAATGTGCTCATTATAGCATGTCTTTACATTTTAGTAGGTAATTAAATGATAGCAAATACCACAAAGACTATTTTGAGTCTTTCACTAGATCAACAGCAAAGGGTCATTTTTATGAAAAAGCAAATCAATTTTTCTTAGATTGAAAGGAGGCAAATATACATCCACTTCTGGTTCATATGAAGTTGTTATTACCTGCTTTGCAATCCAGGATGGAAAACAAAACAAAACAAACAAACAAACGAAAAAACTATCTATAGGTTTATGTGGCAATGGCGTACTCACAAAGCAATTATATTTATCTGGTATAAAACCATGCAGAGCAGATGCTGGACAGTTACCTAACACTGGTGGAAAGCAGTTGCCTGTTAAACTTTTAAGCCCAAAGCCAGCCACAGTCAGAAAGGGATTGAATCATGCAGCTATTTTTCCAGCAATGTCAACTCAGGTGTGAAGTGTTTGATACATAAAAAATGACTCATCCTATTCAGAGCAAATCATCTTCCCCGACCTCAGCAGTAGCCTGTGGAGGGCTGCATAAGCATGGTGACAGTCTAGCTGCCCAGTGATGACACCACTGCTTGGCTGCTGAGACTGAAGTAGGGAAGGAAACAGAGATAGAAATGAGAAAAAATGAGAGAAACAATCAAGAGGTATCAGAAAAGAATAACTGCAGGGAAAACAGGGACATGAGTAAAGGAAAGGGTGAAGGAGAGAAAAAGAGAAATGAAGAAAGACTAAGCAGAAAGAATGGGGTGATAGAAAAATGATAGTAAGGTATTATATGACAGTACAGCTATTTTATTCACTACATCATTAAATCAAAAAGAATTTTTCTTCCTACTCAAACCTTTCTTGGAACTTCTTTATGGTACTAGTGATACCCATCCTTCACCTGCTTCCCTAATTCTGAAGGATACACTGGATACCAGCTTCACGGACATCATGTCTCAGCTTTAATCTACCAACAGCATCATTTACCAAGAGCGGGAGCCTGAATATCAGCTCTGTTCCAGACTATGGAGACTGAGTGGTGCAACCAGGCACCTTCCAGGAATGGGGTAGACAAATGTGACCAACATCTGCCGCATGTAGGTCTGTCCTCCTCTCTCTGCAGGAAGCAAAAGCAAAAAGCAGGAATCTGAGGCGTTCCCTTCGGCAGGGTGTACTTGGACTCCCACAAGTGTGAGCTTAGCACCACAGAGCCGAGATGAGCTACCTATCATGTTATTTATATAGCTTTACCCAACATTGGAGCACTGACACCTGTGACACCTAAACCCACGCCAAACTGATAAAATGCTGCTCACGCAATCTTCTTTTTTTTTAAGTGGAAGTAAATGCAATAAGGAAACAGCAGAAATACTGAGATGAGAATGAGTTTTTTCTTTTTTTTTTTTCAGATTCTCCCATTACTCCAGGATTATTTTGTTTTGGCATGTGCCCTTTGCATGAAAGGCTAATGGACACCTATGAGCTATACTGGGAAGTCACCTTGCTCTCATGGCTTGTGTATGTGTGCAAGGAAGAGAAAAATAAATAGAAGGGGGCCAAAGACATGTAGTTGGCCATGGATGCTTCTTGCCTCGCCTCTCCTTGGTAGAGATTTACAGCACTCAGCCTCTGTGGCAATTAGGAAATGTGATGATGTTTGAATGCTGAGCGGATCCTTTGGCATAAAGGAGGGCTTTTTTTCTCATGAACAAATTCACAGTCCACACAATGTCGCTTCTCAGAAAAAGACATGGATTTAAAACATAAATGCACTAAATAGTTATCAGGAATGTGTCCCCTCAAAGGGAAGAGAACATTTGTGATTTTATTTATGCTACATCTGGAGTTATTTGACAGTTGTCCCTCACTCTACCATCAGACCTCACTGTACATGGGTGTCAGGTTTACAAAGTGGCTCAGCTGTAAACAAAGCCTGTCCTAGGCGAGCTGTGTAACCTACAGAGGTCATTCCCCATAACTCCTTGATTTCTTCATCCATGCCTTCTGCTCAGCTCTGACACAAGTGGGTCCATGGTAGCCAGGAGGGGTAGGAGATGGCAGATGGGCACTGTGGTCTGTGTGTGACTGGCAAAGCTTTCTAAATTAAAGACTACCTTGGAAAGTCACTGTAACTTCCTCCGAGAGACACCAAATCAGAGCGGACAGGTTCCCTCAGACGCCGAGTGCTGCAGGGGCCTCTTGATCTATGGATACATCCTTCATGTTTTAAGATCTTCATGCTTGGCCACTATCTCATGCTTTCTTGGTTGATAGAGCCAACACTGAGGTTAGCCAGGGAGAGCTGTTTACACTATGCCAACTATTGGTATTTACCTCCTCTTATTTTGCAGGTGCTTGAAGAGGAACAGACCATTAGGTGACATAAGAGCTCTCCTTGACTGACCTTAAAGCCACTCTGTGGATATCAGCTCCAAAAGAGCAAAATACTGTGGCTGCCTTAAACTTCTTTTCTGACTGATGTTTACTTATCAGGGGAAAAAGCTGTTCCCATGTTAGGGAGTCCCATGAACCTCCTAGCAGGGTCATACCCATTTTCAGTGTCATTCCTTTGGCATTTAACCTTAGGCAGAATCAAGTGTTGCTCTGCAGTGTGGGAGCACAGGGTGCCCATCCTTCCATGGCTGCAGTGGGGGTATTTCCATATTAAAACTCCCATGGCTGTGGATTCTGAGGGACTCACAAGACAAAATTATTTTCAGTTACATTCAGGCTGGAGTTAGGATACAGTTTTTTATGTTAGGTCAAATGTCAGGCCATGTGTTTGGACCTCCAATGAACCTCAGCTGTTAACAGATTAGCCTAGGGCCTGAGTATTCCTAACGTGCAACCAAGTACTGTAATGTATATTTTACAGGTATCTGCATGGAATGGTAGATACTTTACAGACTCCTTTGTGCACCCCCTGGGGTTCACGGAAAACCTATCTAGGGAATACAGTGAGGTAAGTGATCATAGAATCATAGAATGCTTAAGGGACCTTTAGAGATCATCTAGTCCAAGCCCCCTACACACATTCCTCGATAGGGATGCTTTCCTGCATTTGAAATATTTGTTATTACATAGATCCAGCTCCACAATACTAGAACTACCAAGCACCCAGGAAACACCAAGGGATCTCTGTGTGTTGGAAGATCTAATGAAATGTATCAAAAATACTTTTAAATAAACGCTTTTTGCTCATTAGCTTCGATCAAGGCCACCTCTAAAGGCACATTCAAGTCCCTAATGAATTGTGATGACTTAACAGATCAACAAAATTAGGAATTCAGTAATTACATGAAAAAGAAAGCTAAATAAAAGCCAGATGATTCCACTCTCATCTACTTTAATTCTCCAGTTTTCTGCCTTTAAACACTGATTTTCTTTTGGTAAAGTCATGCCTGTTACAGTTCAGTGCCAGCATTATTCTGAATAGAGTTTAACATCCAGTAAGCAAACGAAGGATGCAAGATGGTTTTCTTACCTCACAAAACATAGGCAACTTTTTGGCAAAATCCACCACTCTTGTAATCGCTGGTGTGATAATTTTTGTAAACTGGCTGAAGGCTTCTAAATCCACTTTCCCTCCTTCTGGGGCATTGACTATTGGTGCTTGTCCAATGTCTTCTGGCTAAAGTTACAAAGAAAGATATATAAAGGAGCAATCTATCTTAAATCAAATATTTGATCCAGAAAATCCTACCTGGCAAGGGAAGATATGCTATTAATGTTCAACAATAAATTTTTATTAAAATGAGCAATAATACTACCCACTTATGCCAGAAAATGTGAATCTGTTTATATAGCACTTTTAAAGGAGGTGACTGCCCAGAGAAATGTGTGCCTGGCATGCCCCTACCCATGCTGTGTGGGCTACTGCATTTCTGTGCACATGCAGTTTCTTGCTTGTGCCTGTATCAGAATATCTCATGAGTGTAACTTATGCCTTTTTTAAAAAAATATAAGGATAATCTATCTTATTACATATTCTGAAAATTTTCAAG